TGATCAAGACCTGGAAACACCCAGTGACTGGCTCTGACCAAGGGGCGGTTCTGTAGACTAAGCTTCCCAGGGAACTGCTGTGAATGTGCACTCTACATGCTGGAAACATCTGTGCCTCCTGGACTTGAACATCAACCAAGAAGGCTTGCTATCTACAGTAGCTTGATATCTACAGTATCCCCATGCACTCAAGGCCACTCTGCCCAAGATGATTACAGGAGAGAAAGGCAGCGGCCTTGGATAAGAGTGGCACACAGAAAGCAGCTCCCGTATTCCTGGCAGCCACAGCTGGGAGACAGGGCAGCTCTGAGTCAAGGTTGTCCAGTGGGAGGGCATCCACTGTGGCTACTGCTTCCAACTGGGGCAGTATCAACCACCACAGGTCTCCACCGGTGGAGGCCTTGACTGATTATCTGCATGCAGAATGACTCTGTAGCCACAGTTCCTTTCCATGTTCTCATAGCTTTGGGAAGCTCGGATATGAAAATACACAGTCAGAAAGGGAATGATTTCTGTGTCACTTTTCTGTGTCACCTCCAGAAGTTTGGAGACTCTAGATGACTCGCTTACGAGTTAGTTAGGGCAGGGCATGCAGTGGACACGCCCCTTCCCACGTCAGTGTCTGACTCCTATAGCTTGTTTCCAGCCCATAGAATAAACTCAACACCCACCAGAAAAGACAGCTGAAATAAAATCACTAACAATACTCTCTGGAGAAGAGACGTTCCATGAAGGAAGCTCTGGGGGACATGCAGCCTCTCCTCTTTCCACTCTGGGTGAGAGGTCCCCTCTCCTCAGTGTGGACAGTCTCCCAAGCAAGCCTCCCTTCTCCTCGGGGTAGACAGTCTTCCTCCCTACTGTGACATATATCTGATGATTTTACTCTATACTATTGCCAAAACCAGGAGAAAAACATCTTTTCTTTCTTGAATAATCCAGCAACTCAGGGCTAGGCTTAAATTGGTTAGTTGATTGTATTTATCTTTCTAGAATACACTGCCTCGAAATGTACATTTCTAATGAAATTAGATAGAAAAGAACAGAACCAGGAAGCATATTTAGAGACATACAGTTTCTAGGGCACCCTAGAGGTGGTTAACAGAAGAATAGAAGAATAACAGAAGAAGGTCACTCAGAATACCTGTTCAAAATTTGTGAATGGAATTCCTGCAGATGTGATTTGATGGTAGTGATCTTGCCTAATGTACACAGAGGCCTGAGTATAATCCCTAGCTAGAATCAAGAACTAAAAAACTCATCTACGGGAAGAAAGAGATGGGCGTGTTAATGTAGTAATGTATGCTGGCAGAGCCCAAATTTATGTTTACATAGGTAAAGGAATACATGGGCAGAATCCAAAACAAATGGTAAGACGTACATCCGGGAAGACAGATTTGGAAACAAGATTAAGATTCGAGGGTTTCTTTCCCTTTTAATACTTCCCAGTGAAACACCGTATTTGAAGTTTGTTACTTTAACATGAGAAAGAAAATCAGAAATTTTGCCTGAGGTGAATTGTCAAGGCATTGGGAAAGGGGCATGGGGAAGGGGGATGGAGGTGATTAACAACAAATTCTTTCTATGTGGACCACTCTTTAGTGGATAAGCAGGTATCAAGAGCACAATCAGGCCTTAGCCTAGACAATGACAAAGCTCCACCCACCATCAACACCTTTCACAGCCAATCAGTAGCAGCTATCTCCTCAGATGTCTAAGATGAAAAAAAAATGTACTGTCCTCTGAGAGGGAATTAAAAAAAATCAATCAATTCACTAGGCTTTGCATTTAAAAACTCAATCCTGCTATTAAATTGGGGGGGGAAGAGGAAGGGGGGGTCACAAAGAAAATGCTAAAAAGTACTTATCACTTCATTGCCCTGCAACTACTGGGGGTGGGGCTGGGCACAAGTACTCAGGACCTATTTCCTCATTCTTACCCCCTCTTCTCTCTCTCTTTCTGTGTATGTTTATCTGTGTGCACATGTGTGTGTGCATGTTTGTGTGAACATGTGTGTGTGTTCACGAGTGTGTGTGTCTGTCTGTCTGTCTGGGTACAGGACCCTGAGCACACCAGACAAGCACTCAACCACTGAGCTATACACTCCTAGCCCCATCTTAGTTCTTTTCCTTAGAAAACTAGTCTTGATGACTTGTACATTCAGAGAGGATATAGTGACAAAGGTGAGCAGTGAAGTTGTCTATTAGAGAGAGCATAGATAGGCCTTTCTTCATACAGTACCTACGTACGGCACAAACAGCAACAAAAACTCCTTCCACAGTACAGGGTAAGAACCGCCAATTCAAAATGCTTGGGCTAAGAAGGGTTTTTTTTTTTCTCAATATTTTAAAGAAATATTTAGATAAACCAAATGATACTTCTTAAGGATGGCACTTAAGTCTAAGTATAAAATTTGTCTGTGCCTTCTACAGCAGCCTCAAGATGGATTTTTATACAGACAGAAAGCTTCACAGATGAGATCAGGGATGGGGTAGACTTTTCCACATGTGTTATCATGAATGTGCTCAAAACACTTCGGAGTTTTGAGCATTTTGGGTACTTGAATTTTCGATTAGGAATACCTATGGTTTGCCTGTGATACAGTTAGGGTCACGTGCTGGAGCAGCTAGCCTCCAGTATGGTGACGTTCAGAGGTGATGGGATCCTAAGGAATGGAAATTGGCAAGGGAGTACTGGAAGCATCACCCACATTAGTTATCATGAGAGGGTTCTCATGCAAACAATGTGCTCCATGCTCTGCTTTCTTGTCATGCCGTGTGAAGCATCCTTTCACACAGCTCCTGCTAGACAATCTACCACAAGGTACCCACTTGGGGTTAAGCCCACTTCCACGGTCAGACCCTTGAGCCTCCAGGACTATGATGTAGGTATTTCATTACAACATCAGAACACAGACCGTGCAGAACACTCAGCCTGTACTTACCTGATTCATTTCTCCACTTAACAACTTCCAGAAAGAACATTAAGGAACAAACCCATGCCCGCGCCATTTCTTACCCACCAACACTGCTATATCCACCACTCAACAATCAATTAACTGGAACCAGAGTGCTCTCAACATAAGTACAAGTTGATCAATGGTGGCCACAGGGACGACAGCTGTATCCTTCCCCTCCCAGAGTGCATGATTTAGGGGCTCAGAGTTAGTGCTCTCATCAACCAAGTCTGAAGAGATCAAAAGATCACCTCCAATATGGGCAGTGTCCCAAGGGCCAGACGATGCATGCAGCATCTAAGTGTTTGGGAGGTCAAGAAGAGAACATTAAGGGTGAGTTTGTTTAGAGAATACATCATGAAGAGGAAAGGACACAAATGAGGCTTTGAAGGGTGGGTAAGACAGAAATACGGCATGCTGTCCACACAAAGGGCTGGTGATTGCTAAGGCTATGACTCATCCTGGAATACACAGCCCTGAACTCTTACTGCTGATGCTGGAATGAGGTTGGTTACTGCCTCACTACACAGGAACAAGAATGGGGATATCTCTGTGACTTTGTAAGACTGAGCACATAAAGAAAAGGTAATGGCTGCTGGGTGCAGCTCTCTAGCCTACAATGTCATGGGCTCATTTACACATCAAATTTGAGAATACATTTTGCTTACCACATGATTTCCTGGTCACCCACAGAAGCCTGGAAGTCTCCTACATAGGTGAGACCTACTGGTGCTCACCTACAATCTCTCCAGTGAAGCAACATTAGAAAATGGTCTGTGGGTTTCAGGGTTAAGGAAAGAGCTTCCTAGACCGAAGGAGAGACCACTATGCTGGCAATGAACTTTGAACATCTTGTGCATTTGCAAAATAGTCATTTTTAGTCTGATGCTGCTAAATGCTGGGAGGCCCAGCCTCTAGTCCTTGCACAACAGGGTGGGTATGTTTAAAGAAGAGATGCCTTTTGCCTCGGTTTTAGGTTTTAGAGCAAACCTGAGGAGCTAATGTGACAATGGCCTTCTTGCTGAGACACACAGTATGTATATGTGTCTTCTGGTCTCCCTCTTCCTATGAAGCAACTGGTATTCCAAATGAGCCTACACATTAATATTCTTCTAGCATCCTAGCTACCCCCCTCTCAGGTCTTCTCTAAACACTACAAGTAGATTAAATTTCCACTCTTTGAAGATTTTCCAAATGTATACGTGGGGGTCAGAGGACAACGTATAGAAGTTGGTTCTCTCTTCCTATCACGTGGGTCCAGAGGACCCAACTCAGGTTTCTAGGCATGGACGCAAGTGCCTTTACTTGATGAGCCATCTCTTGGTCCTGGTCTACATCTTCTTAATGTCCTACAATGGATAAACTTCTAACATCAACTTCAGAAGGGGCAGATTATGTTTAAACCACAAGCTCCTGGTTGTAAATGCACAAATGATGATGGGGGTCACGCAGAGGATGTTCTGGTGCCTATGTGATTTCCAAGTGAACTAGCATTTGTATTAGCATTCTGAGGGCAAACCAGCGTGAGAACAGAGAATACTGAGATAAGCCAGATCTCAGCCTAACACTATATATGGCCCTGAGTCTTAAGACCCACTGGTCATGGTTGAGAATGCCCCTCAGGAGCTGAGGTGTTTATAAATGTCTTTTTTTTGTGTGTGTGGCATACATGAAGATGCTAACAGCAAGTGCCTCAGCTTCCTGTTAGAATATTAATAGTCATAACTACATCTTCCTCATAGCAATGTTGTGAGGCTTCATGGTTTGAGGTACCCAAAAAGGCCTGGGCAAATATTGGAAGCTATAACTCACTTTTGATCACATTCACATACAGAAGACTAAATGATCACACTCACTTCCCTCCACAATCCCATCATCAGTGGCCCAACTCTGGGGAAATGAGAATCAGCTGGCTTCCAGCATTGAGGGCTCCAGGGAAGGCTCACTCAACTCAATGCAGAAGATGGCTCTGCAGCCCAACAATCAGACTGAGCATCCAGAAATGACACCCAGAGCCACCACCAGGGGAGCCCCAGGGAAAACTTACCACATAGAGCTTGCGCCAGATGACGGCCCATTCTCGTAGCGTGTTCGTGAGCTCCTGAACCAGGGGCAACTCTCCAGGAATCACGGTCTCATGCTGCCTACAGGGAACCAAAAGGGTGCACACTTTACTGCACATGATAGGAGCTGCCTTTCCTGACCACCATACTCTTGACAATCCAGTGCAGGAACACGGCAGCTGTGGTTTGAAATAAACTAATCGGCCTCTGCGTCTACTTTAGGGGGGCATCTACTTTAGAGAACTTAACACAGCTAAACATGAGCAAAAAAAAAAAAAAAAATAATAAAGCAAGGAACTGAAAGCAACACAGTCTACAAACTAAGTTTCTGCATGGCACAGGCTAAGCCTAGACTCTACTTCCTCCTGTTGATTCTCTGAAAGTGCCAATGACCATGCCAGGTTATTAGCTGGTTCCATCTGGCAGTTGCTTCACTCTGTAGAGAGGTAAGTGGCACATGACTTCACCCAGTCACCTGAGGACTGATCCATGCCCTCCTCTAGAAAGAATGGGGGTTTCTTCTCATCTACTGCTCCCCGGCACGGCAAATGGAGACAAACCAACATCCTCACTCATATGAGGCGGAACTGTGCTTACTCACATAAATCCCTCCCACCATATTCCTACATTTATCAGTAGGAAAAAGTTAGCCAGGACATGCAAGCACACAGGGGAGAGCCATAGGACCACCAAGAGACAGTGCAAACATACATAGCTGGATGTGAGCTTCAAGTAGAGTAAGACGATATATGAAGGCAAACGTGACTCGTGAGCCAGGCGGTGGTGGCGCACGCCTTTAATCCCAGCACTTGGCGGGCAGAGGCAGGCGTATTTCTGAGTTCGAACCCAGCCTGGTCTACAGAGTGAGTTCCAGGACAGCCAGGGCTATACAGGGAAACCCTGTCTCGAAAAAACAAAACAAACAAACAAAAAAAGTGACTCGTGAAACATTTCTTACATGCTAGCTATGGAAAACTGCAAGCAGTCCCTGACTTGGGGGCGGGGGGTTGATTTTGTAACCTGAAGATGACTGTGATGTGCATACTCACAGATACTGGCTTTTTACTTTCAGCACAGTGTTGAACCCACTACATGAGATACGCACTACTCTATCCTCCGGTAGACCTCGTGTTAGATGATTCTGCACAACTGTCAGTTGATGTAAATGTTCTGAGAATACTGGAGGTGGCCGGGCTAGGCTATGTTTCATAATTTAGGTGAAATAAATGCATTTCTTGTTGTCCTTTCTTATTAGCATATATTAATTGCGTAAAATGATGGGCTTGCCTATGACACTGGCTTGTGAAATTTTCAACGCTGGAGAGTTTATAATGATGTAATCACAAGCTCAGGAACATCTGTATTTGCTGACTCAGTAACAGAGTAAACTGGGCCTCCCGCCTTTCATCTGGCAGAACCAGTCAGAGCAGGACTTCTACTTTGCCTTTACAAGGGACACTCTGTGGCTGCCCAGAAATGGCCCACTGGGAAGAGGATTCCTGGAGGAGGTGGAGGAGAATGTTCAATGTACTGGGTCTACTGTGGAAGACCCGTGAGAACGTCACCACATCTCTACTTCTTGTCTTAAAATGTGGGGGCTTTGGAACTTCTCAGTAACGTTCCTCTAGTTCAGAGGTTCCAGGATTCTGGGACAGCCTCTCTGGCACCAGCCATGGGATCGAGCTCTACTTCCTAATTCTTTTTCCTGTTTTCAGTGTTGTTTTTCTCAGGCACCACAGAGTCCGTGCTTTGCAGGAAAAACGACACAGACAAGAAATGAGTGCTCAGACTGAATGGATGTTGTCTATACAGCAGTTCCCACGCACCGCTGGCACCTCACACCAAGCCCATCGTCAGTGTCTTCCTCCAGGAAGCTGTAAAATTTCCAAGGTATACTAGCAAATACATGATGTATCCAAGGTTCAGAGCTGAAGGGGACAGACTGACGTCCTGCCTCCCTAGATGTCCACATGGACTCACACTCATATACCCAGTGAGTAATTAGCAACTCCGAGGGGAAAGCCCTCAGAGTTCATCACTGCTGTCTTTTCTATTCTGGGGAAGAGTGTGAAGGAGGAACAAGTCTGGAAAGAGAAGGCAGAGGGGGAATTCTATGAGGCAAGTGAAACCAATGAGAGGAGAAAGACATCAATGGGTGTAGGCCATTCTTTCATGGTCATCTTACATCTCCATCACTTTAGTGGTCTTCCTAGATGGGAACTTACCCTCCATCTTCCACGGTTGCCTCCTTCAAATGGATGTATGTTTCAGGAAAAATGCCCTATGGAGAGAAAACTCTCATTATACAGACATTAAAACCAGTCAGGAGCATGAATACTGAAAGGTGGGCTTTGAACACCTTGACAAAAGGAAATTCCCAACTGAGTTGGCAGGGTGTCACTTATAATGACCAACTACGTTCCCCCGGAGGAAGGATGGAAACACTGAAAACAGCAGAAATTAAGATTTGGGCTCAGGATGCACAGGATGTTTTGAAAATAAAGAGTTCAAATGCACCATCAGCTCGAAGACCCAACAATGGCAAGGAGCATAACACCGAGGACCTAGAATCTATGCAGAGCCCACGTGCCACGGTGCATCCGTTAAGGTGCCTTGCATGGTGAGTGAGCGGCTCACACTTTAACTTCCTACAGTAATACTTGTCAGTACCTTCACTGAAGACCAACTGCACAGTATTTTTAGCTACCTGACCATTTCATCATTGCATAGTCTCCATTGGTTTTCCACTTTATCACCCCAAGAGGCATTTCTATAGCAGTATGATGACACTGCTCACTAGAGAAAGTACAAAAAAAGTCCCAGGGAAGGGCTGAAAACCACTGGGTGGGAACCAGAGAGCTGCCGGAAGGAAGAGATTTCTCAGTAGGCAGGAACCGTCCACATGCGTTCTCTTGAATACCAAAAGTTCGTGCCTCATTGTGCAATGCTCTCATGAAGCCACATAGCGAAGGAGATGCTGGGTTTTGCTTTAGAGTAGTTTCAGAGTAGATGAACCAGCTGGTATCTGGGCTCGATTACTCCTAGCCTTGCTCACAAAAAGGCTGGCATGCTCTCGGTGGACATTACATGCCAAGGATTGCTGACAACACAGGTGGTAGTGGAGGTAGCCCATAATCCACAGGACCATAGTTGAAAATGTGCATGCACTCTGTCATCCTCAATAGGACAAGGAACCAGTGAACTCAGACAGGAGCTGCTCCTGTGGCCAGTTTCATGTACCGAATTTGTCTACACAATACTTTCTCCTTTTTCTTCCTTTGCCAATAAAAAAATCTAATGGCCAGAACATTAGGGATTAAGCTGATCTCGGCAGGGCGATGACAAAGGGGATCCTGCAACTGCTTTAGGCAGAAGCAAAGGCCCCATCTCTTCAGCCAGTCAGGGTGACACATTAGTGAGAAGGCACTGTCAGGTCTCTCTATTGATGAGACTAACACCACACACAGATACGGTGACCTTGAGTTTCTTCAGATGCAAAGGATACAGAGTGATTAGGATACAGAGAGATTGATCAAGCAACAATCAAACAAACACAAATTCAACGTTACTCTGAAGCCATGAGGCCACTGTTGATACCTGACAGAGGAACAGCTCTGATGATGACAGGGAGAGAGTAAGAATAAATACCCATCACCTTCACATATCAGACACTGTTACAAGGGGTTTTCGTGTATTTGGCTGTATTTGTTTTCGAAATGCTTAGTCAATCATCCATGATTGAATGCTTGCCCACCACCTTGCCCATTTAAGTATCTGCCCAATTACAGAACTTTCATGTGTAATACCTCTATGTTTTTTATTCTCAGCTTTAAGATGTCTAATTGATGGCTTTTAAATGCCTTCTTCCTATTGAAATTATCTGGAAGCAGTCATATTTTTAATTAAAAAAACCCCTTCATTGACACATAATGCTTGCCTCTATTCATGGGGTACAGTGGTACCTCGGTGCCTATATAATGTATGAAACTGGAGCTAGAGAGACAGGTTGCTTGGTAACCAACATGAGGACCTGAGTATAATCCCAGCCCTCACATAAATCTGCACATGATGGTCAAGCTGGTCATCTCAGAGCTAGGGAGGCAGGGCTTGATGGCCAGCCCACCTAGCTGGAGCAGTGAGTTCCAGGAGACTGAGAGAACTTGTCTCAGAATACACCATGGTGGATGACATCTAAAAAACACATACTGAGGCCATACACTCTGGCTTCCACAGCCATGCATGTGCATACATGAATATAACAGTAAATTTTATGTCACCTAGTCTTTCACAATCAAAGAGTGAAGAATTCATGAAAAGGGTTGGGTAGGAGTAGTAGTTATGGGCTAACAAGCTGGCTCAGTGGGTAAACATTTTTGCTGCCAGGTCTGACAACCTGAGTTTGAACCCCAGGACCCACATGGTGGAAGGAGAGAATTGATTCCTCCAAGTTGTCCTCTGACCTCCACCTTCGGGCTATGGCACATGAGTGTGCATGTGCACACGCACACGTGCATAGACACAACATAAATGGATATGACATTGCTGAGGCTAGGCGTGTAGCTCTGAGACAGAACCGTGTTTAAGATGTGGGAGGTTTTAACTGAACTTTCCTTGGTCTCTGAAGTAGCTCGGATGACAGGTGTGCACTGCTGGGCCCAGCTGTTCTGGATGATTCATATGATTATCTAAGAGAATTTTCTATTCATTGTTTTACATATTAAGAAAGGGAAGGGCTATGAACTAAATGACCTGGGTATTCTTTGTCTCTCTCAAACAAAACCCCCAAATGTAACACGCCTAATCCAAAGAAAAATTCTGGGGAAAAAAAAAAAACCCTGCTGAATTCCTAGTCTGGTGACTGGTCCCTGCTAATCCCTGGGAGCCAGCCAAGCCAGAGGTACTCATAAGCCAATGATGACTCGGCCTGATGCTGACCACTGCAGACACTCTACTCAGGCATGAAGGTGTTGACATCCAGAGCTCATGTGTTTTGTCATCCCTCTGTGCTGTCATCTGCAGCATCATTGTGTCGTGGTGGCATTCGGCCATTTACAATCATCTGGTTTCTCTCCTAAGGCCAGAGCCAACCTGGGTCTCGCTTTTCCGATCTGCAGCCCATCTCTCAGTTCTGCCTTTCCTTGCTCAATGCAACCTACTCACTAGAATAAAATGCTTCTATTTTATTTCAGCTCATTATTTTCCCCATGTTATGCTGTCGCTGCACCTCGATCTTGCCAGGATTAAGGATGAATTTCTTCAAGGCTCCAGGCTTCAGTTTGTAAGGCCACCAGCTTCCTTTTATCACGGCTCCAAATGGCTAGGTTGGCTTACAAATGACACCAATAATTTCCATGAAAACAATAGGCCTTTCAGATAGCTCTTCCCTTAAGGCAGGAAAAGGAGGGACCAGCACAGGATAGCATTTCTATCAGGCTGCGTCTCATAACGAAGGGGTGTCACAAACCCAGCAAAATTCAAGGCTGATGCCTTTAATTACATCTTTGTTTCTTAGATCTCCGCACGGCAAGATAATTTAGTTAAAAAAAAATCAAAACTCATCAATGTACACTCAAATTATTCATGTCTCCCCACCCTGCCCAAGGCAGGGTTTCTCTGTGTAGTCCTGGTTGTCCTGGAATTAGCTCTACAGACCAGGCTGGCCTCACACTCAGAGATCCACCTGCCTCCGTCTCCTGAGTGCTGAGATTTAAGGTGTGGGCCATCACACCTGGGCTCCTGTTTTTCTTTAACAAAGGACAGAGGAGCTCTTACTGAAATAGCTTTCTCCAGAAGGTGAGGTTTTTAAGCTTACAGGTTTTAAAGAACATTTTAATTAAGAACAAAACAAACAAAAATCCCAGGAATATGACAGACACACATGGCTCAGGTGATGCTAACTGGACCATTTAGTATTCCAATCAGACTCGCTGGAACATAGTATTCCAACTAGTGGTGGCAGGCGCCACTAGCCAGAGGGATGCAGACATACTGGAAAGCACAGAATGCCTCAGAAGCCAAGGTCTTCCACGCTGGAACAAATCCTTATGTAGGGTGAAGGTCTTGAGACATGTTTTAACAGTACCTATTTGGTTTGGTAGTTGGTTCTGTTGTTGTTGTTATTGTAATGGTGATGGTGGTAAGATCAAACTCCGGGCCTCTTGTATGCTAGGTAGTGTCTACCATTCAAATAATTTGGAGACAGGATATCACTAAGTTACTCAGGTTGGCCTCAAACTTGCCTCAATCTGTTAAGTAGCTGGGATGACAGGTGTGCCCCTCTAGCCCTTCCCCCCAGCTGTTCTTGATGTTTCTTAGGATTTGTCTGAAAAAGTTCTCTGTTCATTTTTTTTGCATATTAAATTAAAAGAGGAAATGTCTGAGGATGAAGTGACCTGGGTGGTCTTTGCTGCTCACAAACTCAGAGCACAAAGTTGTTAACTTGTGGGGAATAGGGGTGGGGCACAGAACTCTGGTGGAGGTCAGAAGACAACTTTCAGAGGTTGGTTCTATCCTCCCAGTGTGAGATAGATCCCCAGGACTGAACTCACAGGTCATTGGGTGTGAGACAAGTACTTTCACCTGCTGAGCCATTTAGCCAGCCCAGTCATTAACTCTGACTGTTTTCTGAAGAAGAAAAAAAAAAAAACCAGCATCTACAACTGCGAGTAAAAATAACTAGTGACGGGGTAAACCCACACACAGCAGGAGTGGGCGTGCTGGGCACCAGCTCTGCTCTGCCCCCCCACCCCGGCCTTCAATCTAGCCCGATGATACCCTCATCATGACAGACATCTGACTGCTACACTGATAGCTACTGAAACACTAGGGATGCTGAAGTCAGCAAAAGAAGAAGCAAAACAACTCATTTGGAAATGGCATGTGGCACAGGCCTCTGACTGTGGACAGAAAAGCTCAGCCACTATGGCATGGCAGGAACACCCCAGGGGGGACTCGGCACCTGCAGGGACTGCAAATGTTCTTAGGTTAGATTATGAGATCATCAAAGAGAATAACGTGTGTGTGTGTGTGTGTGTGTGTGTGTGTGTGTGTGTACACAAGTGTGCAAACACTAAGCCTGAAGAGTCATCAACTTCAGCCATACTCCTCTTGGGTTTCTGTGACCTCTAGCTAGTAGGCAGGGGTTTGAAGGCTCCATGTTCTTCTGAGATCTGAGGGGTTTCACTGGCCAACCTGCATGGACCTACGTCTGGCTTGCAGTGTGGTCAAAGAGTAAGAACCGTGAATTTTTCTACCCTTTCTGCCCTGATAAATTCAAGTTTTTCTCACCCTCTGCTATTGGCACTCCAGCTAACTGTGAAATAATAAAGCCCTATCAGCACTGTTTTGGCAAAAGGAAAGTGCTGGCACACTCCGAGGCCCCACATCACCATCAAAGCAAAAGTGCTGACACGGGGTCCACAGCAAACCCAGGGGCACATTAACACAGCCATGAAGCATTCTTTAGTTTGATGATGAGCTGCCCTGACACTGTGAACGCAAAGTGTCCAGGCCAGTACTTTCCCCAACTCTGCCCGTGGTGAATCATAACAAACTCAGTTATAGTCCAGTACTATACAAAAAAAAAAGGCAATAAAAATCACAAACTAGATAAACATAAATGTCCAAAGTAAATGTGTCACAAGCGTCTATTTTTCAGCTTTGTTTTTCTGTTACACATTGGTTAAAATCTACTAAAACAGTTACTCCATGGGCCTTGTAGTGTGAAGTCACCACTCTGGTTTGATGGGATGAGTGGGGCACACTTCAGTTCTGACAGGGTATGATTGGAAGTAAAGGACACAGGGAGAAGTGGGTCCTGCTCCTTCCTCCCTGACGGAGGTCCCTAGGACACTGTTACTGTCCTGCTGCCTTATTCAGGTTCAAGGGTAGACAGCATGTAACCTTCTTGAGTTAGCTGCTGGGAAACACATCCATGAAGTTACAATATTGCTCTTGGACACTGGGGCCCAAGTATTTGATTTCAGCTCAAAGGAAGAGTCATTGAAAAGAAAGCAAGCCAGGTCTAGAGACAGTAGATAAAGGTATCCCACAGCACAACATAGAACTAGTGGGCAGTCAAGGGAAGAAAGAAACTGAACAATATGCATACCTTTTTAGATTTGTTCTGGAGAGCATATCCTCTGTACCAACCTGTGGGGGTGAGAGGGGAGAAGAGAAAGCATTTTACATTTTCTGGGAGGACAAAAAGACAGCAGCAACACTCACATGTTCTCTCAGCAATCCTGAGTTAGAAACCAAGAGATCACGGTCAATGAAACCTAGAGCAGTGGTTCTCAACCTGTGGGTCACAAGTCCTTCGGGACCCTTTCGCAGGGGTTGCATAAGGCCACAGGAAAACATACACATTTATATTACGATTTACAACAGTAACATTACAGTTACGAAGTAGCAATGGAAATAATTTTATGGTGGGAGTCACCACAACATGAGAAACTGTCTCATGTTTCTCATTAAAGGGTCTCAGCATCAGGAAGACAGAACCACTGCCTTAGACTATGAACCATCCCATTTCTTACACAGCGAAGATGTATTTTACAGCTGTATTCTCTTATTAACTACAAGACTTTAAAATCTGCACAGAGGGGGCTGGGAGATGACTCAGCAGTTAGGAACACCTGTTGCTCTCAGGGAGCACCTGGCCTGAGCCTCCCACGTGCCAAGATGACAATTCGGCACTAGGCACCACCCCAAGCTTTAATTCTTCCATAAAGTTTCATTAAGGTATTTATATATGGACATTTTCTCATTTATCACGGAGTATACAACCTAAGGTGTCCATAAACAAGTATTTTATATTAAAAATGACAACACATGGTTGTTTTTAAGCCACGCCCACCTAAGGCGTCAGTATGCTCAGTGACTATCTTGCCTCAGGAAGCCTACTGTAAATAGAATCGTGTAAGTAGACAGTGAATAGACGCAATCTATAGTTGGAATTGCAGGCATCTGCCAGTAGGCCTCTAGAGCTGTCCCATGCTTGTTATGTAAGATCAATCAGAAAACAGTCCCCTACTCTGTTTTTACCTGTTACAAGTAGAGAATTGGGTTCATCTCTTTGGGGGCAGATTGAGTAGTGCTTTCACAAATTTTAAATTATCAGTGAAACTAAAAAATTAAGGAATTTTTAGAGGGGATGAAGGGGTAGGGCTTTGGTATGGAATTATAGTCTGCATCACGGTATGCAGCTGAGAAAACACTGGTCTCACTTTAGGAAGCCAATGTGCGGGAAATCAAGTTAAGCTGGAATACACTGACCATTTCTCCCATGACTCAAGGGTCTACGTCCCTCTGTACTCTTGATTCTACTAAGATATGAAAACGGTTTGGGGCAAATGGCTGGCTTTGACATCACCCTGGATCAATTCAGAGCTGAAGGCCACACTGAGAAAGAGCAGGTGAGGCAGTTTTCACTTTTCAGGCTCTACAAAACCAAGAAGTCACAAGACAGACTGGCCCGCTTACCCAGGAGAATGGAACTTGCATGCCTGTAAATGGCGTTCTACACAGCTGTTCACCACAAAATTATGCTTCCTAAACCTGCCATCTGGGGGTGGGGAGACCATTTCCATATATCCTTGTCTCTAGAATCATAGTGTCTATATAACTACTAGAAAAAAATTCACAAAATTATGATTCTGGACTTGTCCAAGTGAATACTCACTTTCTTTGGCAGTAGGCATGGTAAGCACTTAGTCTACAGCTAGGAGGGAGTCTGAAGGTATTGATAACTGTCAGAGCTCTAAGAATGCAACTACTGATTGCTGATAACTCCAAAGGCTATGACCACAGTGCATAGTTGTTAGAGAGTCCTATATTATAAAACTGGGTTGCAATACAAACAAGAACAGTTTTCCTATTAACCCTCAACATTTACTATAAAACCATAATTTAAGACAGTTTGCAGTTAACCTTCAGTGCACACTGGGATGCAAAGAGGCAGTGACGAGTGTATCAGGAAGTAGTCTGTAGTCTCAAGCAGAGAACAGGGAGAATGAAATGGCAAGTTTGTTCCTAAATTATGTAATTACAATGAGAGCAAAGGGCCAGAGAGGGAGTCTTAGCTACATTTTAGTGAAATGAGTCTCCAAAAAATAAGTTACAGCCACCATGGCAAAATGGGTAGCACTTCTGGGGTAAGAAGTCATTTCAGTGTCTTGGGGACTGCCCCAATCCAGGATAAAAGCATCTCCTCTCATTGGAAACTATCAAAGCTGCTAATTCCACAGGCAAGTTGGCTCACTTTATCTAGCTGTAGGTAATCTTCATCGGTCAGGAGTCTACCATCGACCCATTTCATTCACCCGTCCAGAGGATGCTGCTGTGTATTTTCTGGCTTCAACCTAACAGTGTCCCTACCTGGTTCTTCTCCCTCTGTGGTAGTTCCAGAAATATTAACTGTGGAGAAGAAGGGTTGTTGTCACGTAGATGGCATATGAGCTGAGCTGAGAACACAGTACTAAGAGCATGCACTCAGAGTCACGTGTGCAGTGTCTGGGGACATGTGTATTTGACTTGATAAGATGATCAAAGGCAGATCAGTCTAAGAAACTAAAAGGAACCAGGAGGGAAAATGACTAGGAAAAAACTTGCAGACAGAAGCCAATCTAATGAGAAGACCATGAGGCAAGAATTCTGCCCAAAGACAGAAAGAGCTCAAAGTGAGAGAGGGTGACTGGGAGGTGGCACCAGGAGGGTCAGACAGGAGTGTTGGTCACCATCCTGGGTACTCATTAGACTCATCAGGGAAACTTATTTTACTTGGTTCCTGAGCAGCTAGGGTAACTTCCTGAGGCCTGGGTCACCTCCCCAAATATTCTTCATCAAGCTCAGAATTAGAGCTTCTCAAAGAATCCCTGGTGACACTAATGCATCAGTGAAAGTGTCACCCCAGGCAAAAGCACCACAGACTGTGTGAAATCTGAGCTTTAGCCTTAGTACCATGGTAAAGACTGGAGGGGAGAAAGGTGCTTAAATGCCGACACATCTTGTGAAAAAAAAAATAGCATTGTGGCTGCTATACAGGAACAGACAAGGGAGGTGAGGCGCAGAAGCGGGAGACTGGTGGGTACACTGAAAACGGGAAGTGATGAGAAGACCGAGACTATATTTAGAAACAGTTTGAACTACTCATGGCTTCACCAGCAATGGGCAAGCATGGAGGAAGAAAGGGTGTTCGGCTCCTGGGCTTATGCAAATGGTACATAGTGTTATCCTATGGTACAGGAAGATTTAAACAGGGAAAGCCTTGGAGAGTGGTAGAAGGCACAGGCAGCAGACCCTGACCCATAGGCTTCCCTCCCTGAGCAACTGAATCCTACAGGTATGACGTGGAACCCTGGCCATGTGCACTGGGGAAGGGGAAGTCAGTGGGGTCAGAACGGCACGGCAGCTCAGAGCCCGAGTAGCATCATAATGCTGATCATCATTTAATAGCTGGCCATGTACCTGAGGGGAAACATTTCTGTCAAATACCAGGATAGGAAACAGAGGTCAGCCCAGAGAGGATCGAGATAAGAGGGATTAACTCTGGACAAGAAATGTGACCAGGACCCTGTCTTTTACCACCGGAACCACACAGGTACAATAACCCAAACAACATGTGTCAGAAATGAACAGTTACAAAGGGCCTATACTGGGTTATCAACATAAGTGAAAATCAGCTATACATAGAATTACTGAGGCAGATGTGAAGGCTAGGTTGCAGTCTTCCACAGCAAGAGGCTGGCTAACAGAAAGATGGAAATGCCAATTCTTAGTTGGATAAAAGACTAGAAAGAGTTCAGAAAGAAGTGAGACTCCACTGAGATGAGGAGGAGTTAGAAGGAACTGCTGGTTTTCATTATGGACTAGTAAAAATAAGTTACGGGTGCCTGCGAACAAGCCTGACGACCTCAGTTCAATCAATAGAATGATGGAAGGAGGGAACACACTATGGCATTTTGGACTCTTACCTCCACATACATGCTGGGACACATGCATGCTGGGACACATGCATGCTTATACAAATAGAGAGGCAGGCAGGCGGGCAGACAGACAGACACATGCGTGCGCATGCGCGCGCACACATACATACATACACACACACACACATACAAATTAAATATAATTTAAAACTTTTTAAACATTTAAAGTTAAATATCTTTATGGCTGGTACAATTTACAACTGACAAAAATATGGATAACTCCTGGCAAGCCAGGCAAAAGTAAAACAAAAACAGCAGGTAACAAGTCTATTGTGATAGGGTGGAGGTGCCTAAAGAGGGAGTTGAGACAGTGTGCAGGCTCCTAAGACAGCGTGGAGGTTTGAATAAGCATGGCCCCATAGCTCATGAGTTTGAATGTTTGGGTTTGTAGTTGGTTGACTGTTTGGGCGATTAGGAGGCATGGTCTTGTAGGAGGAAGTGTGTCACTGACAGTGTTTCAAGGTTTCAAAAGCCCGTGCCAGGGCCAGTCAGTCTCGGTCTGTGTATGTGTGTATGTGTCTGTCTGTCACTGTCTCTGTCTGTGTCTCTATGACCCTTTCTCTTCCTCTCCAACTTGTGGATAAGATGTGAGATCTCAGCCACTGCTCCAGTGCCATGCCTGCCTGCTGCCACACATCCTGTCATGATGATCATGGACTTACCCATTTAAATTATAAGCAAGTCCCCAATTCAATGGTTCCCCATCCCTGGATAAGTTGCCTTGGCAAAGATACCTGATCACAGCAATAAAATAGTAACTAAGACAAAGAGACTAATTCTTGTATTTCCTGATGATATACACTTGTCAAAGCTTATTGAATTACATCTTAAATACAGTGAGTTTTATGTAATTATACCTTTCATTTTAAATGATACAATTGGATAGCACCGTTTGCCCACTAGAATGACTATGGTCAAAGAGATTGATTGTGCCCACAGTTAGCAAAATCTAGGAGTAACTGGGCCCAAGTGCTTGTTGGTTTTGTCAATCTGACACAAATCTAGACATAGCTGAGAAAAGAGAATCTTAAATGAAAAAAATCTCTGTAAGATTGGCCTGTGGGCAAGCCCATGTGATATTTTCCTGAGGGTGAGCCTAGCTCACGGTGGGTGGCACCACCCTTGGGCAGGTGGTTCCAAATTATATAAGAAAAGAGGCTGCACAGT